GGTTCCGTGGCGCCCTTAGCCGACCCCGTGGTGCGGGGCAGGGAAGGTCCGGACCACAAAGAGCTAAGTTCGAGCTCCGATAACTACCCCTGCCCCAAGAGGGTGGGATGGGGAGGTGTGACGCCCAGTGGTGATGGTGGGAGGAGAGACGGAGTGCTGCAACTGTCTGGGAAAAAGTCAGCTCTTTGGCGGAGCTGGTGCACGTATTCACCCGGCCTTCTGCTATCATTCCGCCTCAAAACTGTCTGGAATGCGGGCCCTCCTTCCCACCGCCCTGCTACAGCCCTAGCCCAGACCTTTCGTCCTGAGCTTCCAAGTTTCTTCTCTGGGTTTGCCTCGCCCATCCTCAGTGCGGCGGGCAGGATGAGTTACCGTTCTTGGCTGAAAAGCCCAGACAGCATCTCATCTTCGAGATCTCGTTTGCTTCACACGGGATCGCGCCTACCACCTCCTGAGTTCCAGTTAAACCTTGCCGACGACTTGCTCTGCCTAGCATGTCCATCCTATCAAATGTCACATTAGCTTTGAAGCCTCATCCTAAAACCCTGTAAGAACAAATGCCTGTCACCCACGTGCTCATTAACCTTCATTTAGCACATCTTGGATTTTACTCATTTTGTGTCCCAACCTCTTTCACTGTCGTGTTTAACACAACTGTTAGTTGTGTGTTGATTGATAAAGACTATAAAAATGATACTGTGATGCTGGACATAGTGCTGGGCACATAATGGATGTTCGTATATTTTTGAATGATAGAACAGATGAGTCGTCTAGTCCCACTCATCTTTTACAGATAAGGAAGGGGGAGCCCCCATGGGATTAGGTGACCTTGCGTGAACAGCTGCGGGTTTCCCATGTCGAATGCTATTCATTACCCCAGTCATTTAGGTTCTTACAAAGGAAGCTAGAAAATTGCTTGTGTTGGGACATGCCCTTTTTGCAAAGGTTCTAACATAGTCGCCAGCATTTGTAATGACCCAAAGTTAAAAAGAAATGGTGAATTTTTCATGAAGCTAAATGTCATCAATTTGAAGGAATCTTTTATTTGGGATTATGTTCTTTTGTGTGCGTTACAAAGTCTGTAAAACTAAGATATAGTAGAGATTGGGGAGGGGGGGCTTTTTTAATGTCCCTGTTTGGCAAAATTAAAAATGTATCATACCTCCTCTATTCAGCAATACTCTGATCATATGATTAGTGTATACTGAAATATTAAAGAAGTGGTGGACACAAAGCACAGAGCCAGCTTTCTGTTGGTCTTTAGGCCCCCTGCCCCAATTCTCCCTGCTCAGTATGCCCCAAAGGTGCTTGCCAATGTCCCGTTTCTCCATTACTACACAAAACAGATTCTATCAGCTGGTTCAAAGACAGCTCTAATGCTAAGCAATGAAAATTTGCCCTCTGATTCCAAATGCTGCTTTTCTTTTTCTTTACAAACACTTATATTCTGAAGGTTCCTGAGATGACCACCTTCAAATTTAAACTCATTGGTTATGCTCCTAATGTTGGTCTGTGACTCTAAAAATGAGGACGGCAGACTTACTGATGACATATTGGCAGTCTAGCCTTGGTGTTCCTAGCCAAAAATGTGGGGGTGGGGGGAGTGAGGAGAAGGAATTATGGGAAAAATAATTAGCAGCTGAAAGCAGCTATTACATAATCTTGGCTGCTTATTAATTTAGCAGAAGGAATGGCTTATTAAATTCTAATAGCAACAGCACAACTGCAAACAACCTAGCAATTAACAGTGCAGGGCCCATTATTTTGTTAATATGTTCTCTTCTTTTGGCAAGTGTGCGAGAACAAAATTTATAGAAGCAGATGGTCTTTTTCAGTAGATTATAGATGGTTTATTCCCCAGTCTTAGTATTAAGTGCTAATAGTACATTTACCATGAAAGACAAAAGAAACAGTGTTGCCATCTTTGCTAGTAATTAACTGCTTGACTTTGATTCCCACAATTTCTAAATTGCCAGGTTTGTTATACACACGTTTATTCATCTGTCATGTCAGTAGGGTAGTTTTTGTAATTCTCCTTTTTTGAATTCTGGCTGGGCCTGATTTCCTGGTGTTAATAATGATACAAAAGTTATAGTGTAAAAATAATACAATAATTATTTTTATGAAAAATTAAAAGCCAAATTTTTGCATTTGTTTCTTAAGTTAAAAAAAACAAGTGCCTTGCTGTCATTTTACCTTGCGGGTAAAATAAAGAATTTACCTTTTTTTTTTTTTGGAGAAGTTTTTTCGCTATAGGGCCCGTGCGCTCGCCAGACAGACAGAGAGAGACATAGAGACAGAAAGCGAGAAATCACCCCCCAGGGGGGATGGTCACGCCGCAATCCCTTCTCCTCCAT